TACGAAGATCAACATTTATATATATATGTATGTATGAATTTATCAATCAGGATAATAATACGAAAATACAATAACATTCTAACATTATTCATTATTTCGTGAAATTTTTGTAAATGAATATTCAGTATGAAAGAGAGATATATAATATTTTGTTTCTTATTAATTTTTGTTATTTTTTCTCTTAACCATCATTCGGAAGATAATTTATTGATTGGCTCTCCATATAATGTGCTTATGGTGTGATAAGCTTTGGATAATTTACACACGTGTTAGGTAAACAGAAAATCAGATGTAATGGATATAGGCAACACGTATTTTATCGATAAAATCGTTAATAATTCATTCCATTGGAGCTAATGAAACACCTTGTGTTATACGATAGAGGGGAAGGAAGATTAATTTACGATATACGTTAAGATAAATAAATACTTGATATATGTTACAAGGTAAAGATAAAGATAAAGATAAAAACAAGAAAAAGAAAAAGAAAAACCAACTAAATAATTAAAGTATCTATTGCATTCGATTAAACTCACCTTCTTGTTCAACCACAAAGATTTGATAATCGATTTGTTGACGCAAGAGAATCGGATGAATGTTGAATAATAATGTTTGAAGATGCTGCGGTCTATCACGGAAAGGAATGATTATGGCAACTCGATGTCTAGCTATACAAGTTTTCGGACATCCTTTACCACCAGGATTCACCTCGGTAAATGTTTTTTCCATGATTGACATCTCTGGTGGAGTTTTACTAACGGCAACTGGACCAACTAAAACGAAATATACGAGATGATTGATTAATATTATTTCACATTATCATGAATTTCATTAATATTATCAACATTAGTTAATCCTTTATATAACACTTTTTATTCTCTCTCTCTCTCTTTTTTAAATACATCCGAATATTTTTCTATTATTTGAAAATACGTTATATAACGTTACATAGTATTTGTGTATTACAAATTGAAAAATAAAAACCGATATATTATAAAGTATTTTATACAAGAAATATCTTTTAATATTTTATATCGGCATGAACGCACGGCCCAAACAAAAAAAAAAATAAAATAAAATACGTTTTATATTAAACGTTTAAAAAATGATTTATACCAATAAGAATTCAAATCTACTTTTTCTATTAATTAATATCTTTCAATATTAGATATATACAAAATTACAAAAATATTATTAAACTATAATAACTTTCTATAGAAATTCGTTGACCAATTTATCATTCATCGAACTATAGAAATAATACACACACACACACACATATACATATATATATATATATATATATATATATATAGATATGCTTATTCAAACAGTATTAAAATATCGTCTCGATTTAAATATTTGATTAACAACGAGTAAATGTAGAAAGAATACATAAAACGGGAGAGAAACAGATAGGAAACACGAAGAGGTGGATTTCAACTCGGGTAGAAAAGATAGAAGTTCATCGATTAACCGAGGTAAACATTCGCCACTCTTCTCATCCTTTGTTTTCCTCGGTGTACGGTTTAACGAGCTTTGCTAACGTGCAAATAGACAAGATCAAAGACAAGAAGGATCGAATCGGAAGGAAGACAAAATAGAAAAGTTAAGACACCACTACCACCACTACCACTACCACCCCCCCTCTTCGTCTTTCTGTTTCTTTCTTTTTTCTTTTCTTTTCTTTTCTTTTTCCAAGCTTAGGTAGAAAGTGCAAAGACAAACGATTCCGGATAAAAGGTAGAAAACCGTGGAAAACTATTGGATCTCGTTGAGTGTGGTACTTTTATTGTAAAACAGCTGTTTACTACGAGACGATTATTATATTACGTTAGTCTAACTTTAAAATAATAACGCTGACGTAATTATTAAACGAACTTATTTTGTTGTTGTTTATCAAATATGTTTTTGATATTACAGTAAAATCTTGACGGTATATTTGAAATAAAATGAGTGTGTGAATTGTACAAAAATTTCGAATCAGATTATCTATATAATATATTTGTTTGAATATTTTCATTAACCTTTGAGTATAGAACAAAAAATAGAATAATACAAATTGAATTCTGTTAAATATATTAACACTAAAAATGTACCATGACAGATAGTTAATTTTTATTGGAAAAATTTGTCTACAAAAGTTAATCATGCTATATTCGATGAAACAAAAATTCTTATTGCATAAATCGTATTATTTTTTTGTTATAAATAGATCGTAAAATATATGATTATTTGAAGACGGATAATTTGATTTGTTGTGATAGAAATAAATTATACACGAAACCACGATATTCGTTTAGTATATTATAAAACAAGCATTATTACAACGGTGGAAATGAAAATCACATCAAAATTTCTAGTTTGTACGAATTATTATTATTATTTATGTGTCCCAAGTTCATTATTGTAAATAATTTTTTATTCTCATTTGTGTAAAAA